CTAAAAATTTAGATGGAATTTTGTCACTACCATTTTTTTCTATGATGAATGATGCAATCAGTTGTTTCTAGAAATTATGCGTATGTTTTTTCCGTAACTGGTCGGATGAACAAAAAAATTTTTTCATTTTTTTCTTTGTTTTTTTTTTCGTGCTCTTTTGTAGCATATCACTCTTTGCTTCTTTACAGATGAACGTGTTTTATTTCTGCGGAAAGATAGAATGACGCTTATTTATACGATTTATTTGTTTCTTTTTATCTTTTTGTTGGGTTTTCTTTTTCTTTTACCTTTCAAGGTACTGGATTTTTTTTTTTTTTGCTACCTATATTAGAGCCATTTTTGAAGTCGTAAAATGGTTACTGGTTGAGTCTTTTTCAATCCTTACTCTGTTAGACGGGAATGTTGACAAAGTAGAGGATGTTAAGACATCCGTTGGTGTGAAGCTAGAAGCATCGTCGAAAACCAATTAGCTTAATTTTCTTTGGCATTATTCTTGTTTCACTACTGTCTGAACGTGCCAAACGCTATATAATAGTAGCGAATTTCAAGTAGGTCTATCATCAGGGTACCGCACCTAGCTTCATGATGAAGATTTTGAAAGTGGTTATTTTTCTAGCATTATGCTGACACAAGTTATATTGTATTTTGCGTTATTAACTTTCCCAGTATTTTTTGTTTTCCTATTGACTGGATAGTTGAAATCTCAGATTAGCGAAGTTTATTTATTATTTATTTGCAGCAGTGCATACCTTACTGCTCTTCTATTTTTGTTAGTATTTGTAACTTTTGCGTAAGGTCTTATGCGCTTTTTGCTTCTAGCATTTTTTTTCCAGGTAGCCTAAAGATCTCTTCGTTTTGCTGCTGACGCTTGTGGGGGAAAAATGAAAATTAAAGTGAGGACACAGTCCTTTGGCGACATCGACGTTGACATTCCGCAAACGGTAAAAATTATTCAAAAATTTCTTGCTTTTGTAGAGTTGCTTGGAGCGTCTTTCATTATTTTTTTGTGAAAAGATACGAAAGGTTTACATAGGTTTAATTTTCCATGTTTACTGGTTGTATTTATGGGCTTCTTCATTTCGGAATTTTAAGCAAGCATTTGGTTGTATTTATGGGCTTCTTCATTTCGGAATTTTAAGCAAGCATTTTTCAATGGTCATGCTGATTTGTAGTGGTTTATTTCTTTTTTTTTTTTCTTTTTTCAGTCCAGTGTATCTACGCTTAGGCCGATTGTAGCTGAACGTACGGGTCTGGACGCCGCAACTTTACGCTTTATCTTTCACGGTCGGGTTATGGAAGATGGAGATATTCTTACAGAGCGTGGAGTCAACGATGGAACAACTGTTCTTATGGTTACCAGACGCCCTCCTGGAGCGTATGTTTCTTTGGGAATTAATTCAAGTATCATCTATTTCCTTATCATGATCTGTTGAACACCATGAAAGAAATTTTTAGCACCGATAATTTGCCAACGGACAGCAGCAGTGGAACCAGTAGTAACAGCCCAAGACAACCGACGACGACTAATTTAGTCAACGCCGAGATCAATATCATGAGAACAGGCTTTTTATCCAATCGAGAAAGGGCAGTAGTGAGTACTTTTATCATTTAGTCTTTTACTTCTGTGATTTTTCACATCTTTTGTTGCGCCAATTTTTAGTTGTTAGTAGGATGTTGCATTCGAAATCGTCTCTCTTAATTCATTTTTTACAACTGGTGTTTCTCAGCGCAAATCGAACTTTTTTAAATGCAATAAGCAAAACTGGATGTTCCCGTAAGAAATATTTTTTAACAGCAAATTTTGTCGCTTGGCTCGGTAAAGATTTTAAACAAATTTGCAGCTTTTTTCTGACTGAAGTAATTGTTTTCCTCATAAGGGCATTTAAAACTTGGAATAGATGGTAATTTGTACAAATGGCGAGTGCACTGTTGGGTGGGAGTTTTAATGCTTAGCTGTTCAGCTTCTCATGGGGTTTGTTAGTCTAATTTGTGGTCGAGCGTTGTTCTGGAGGTTTACTGTCTTTTCGTTTACAAACATAAGGTGCTTTTTGTTTTGTTTTTTCATCATAGCCTTATTTGTTGAGAACAGGTAGGTACCATAATGGGTAGATCACTTTTTGTGAAAGTATACTGTATTATTCCACTATTACTCTAATAAACATATTGCATAACCATAGCCAGCTTCCAATGCTGGTCTGGTTTCAGTAACCTTTTTTTGTAGTGGTTTTAGTAGATCATATTACCGGCTTTTTTCAGTTGTTGTACAGTCACCAATTTTCATGACAATTTACAACACTATCAGTGAAGCAAAAAGACTCAACAAATTTTGCAAACCTCATTTCATTTGTAATCTGGTTTTCTGTCAGTTCGTATATTATCTACTGAATGAATTTCTTTATTGGCTCTCTATAAGTGTCTTCTAACTGTGCCATTCAGTACCATCAATTCTGGCGTTACTTCTTGTGTGCTTTTTTCTGGTCCTTTCTCTGCGGACTCTTCAAGAATTCGGTCGTCGGGTGCAGAAAAGCAACTCTTATCCATTTTTTCTTTTTATGCGACTTTCTTTTTCCTGAAATTGGCATGCCAGAGCTGAAACGCAGTTTAGGAAGAGGCATCCTCATTTATCTTAATAACACATTCCAATAAGAGTCATGTGCGAACATACCGTTTTCTCGCTGGGGTGCATAAAGCAGTTTTTCGTTTCCGAGACTGAAAGGTTTCAAATGAAAGTTTCCATCTTTTTTAAGGAAAAAGAGATGGTAATAATGTTGTAGAGTCTAACTTTGCAAAGATACCAGACTTACAGCTAACTTTTTTATTGATCAAATAGTTGTTACCGTGAAAAGTTAGTGTTCGAGATAGAACTATTTTGGATGTAACAACCTAATAATTCGAGGTTTTTTTTAACAAGAATAGTATCTTTAATTTTATTACAGTAATTCTTATGTAGGAGTTGATACGAAATACAGTTCGAAGGTTTGCTGCTCCGCTTAGTTCTAGTCTTTCATGGGATGTTGATTCACGGGAAAATCTTCCCCAGCAGGGCGACCTTACTATAATTGTTCGTCTTCTGGGGAACCAAATTAATCACCCTAGTTCGGGCGCCCGGGCTCGCATACTTAGGGTCACCGACATACTTTCTCGGATAATTCTGGCTATGCAGATTATTAAGGTAAATTTTGTTAGGTCATTTTCATTTTTTAAATCATTTTCAAGTACTTTGGTTTGGATGGAGGATAACGGAAAAAGATAATTTTGAAAGACCTTTTTGTAGTTTTTGAAAAAATGGCTATTACGCTTCAAGAAAATTAGTCTAATATTTACTAGTTTTTTTTGTTTCTCAGGTGACGGGTTTGTTTATTCAGAAGTAGATCAGGTAAAGCTTTTTGAATTATTTTGTCTGGTAGCTCATTGTCATTGGGCTAATAATTATTAGGACGAATTGTGCCAGCTGGTTGATGATATCCTGGCTCACAACTACGTAGTTAATGATGAATCATTTGCACATTTGGATGAATGTGTGTTGCGCTTAGAGGAAACTTTACTCGTTCCACGTATGAATTATAATTTTTTCTTTACCTGGGAAGATCTTTTTATGTTTTGCTGTAAATAAAAAGCTGTTTCTTTGGCCCTTACATTTGAAAGCTTTTTTAGGTTCACACGAAATCGTTAGTTCTTTGGCGACGGTCTCACAAGGTACTTATTTTTTCATTTCTTATATTTTTTGATTGCCCGAAGACTGCAATCTGCTTTCTCACTGTGATTTTTCATTAGTAAAAGTCTCGTTAAAATATGGGGATACGGTTGAGTTTTTCTTTGTAGGTTCTACTGAAGGGCCCGCGGAAGGTTCAGGTACTCCGGAAGGTCACATTTTTTATTTATATTGCTTAGTTTCCCTTTTTTTGCTTAATTCTTGATTTGATTTTTT